AAAAAAAAAAAAAAAAGGAAATAAAAAGCTATCATTACATAAAATTTGTCACATGAGTGAAAGTGGAAGGAATCCATATTAATGAATGAGGTTCAAGTAACTCACTAAAAGCAATGTATAAGGTTGAAATCTGTTAGCTCTAGAAAACATGACTGTATGAAATGAAACCAATAACCTAAGTAAATGCTCTATAACCTTCAGAAGGAAAAAAATAATGATTAATATAAAGGAAGAATCTAGACAGACATAAGAAAAGGGGAACAGAGCAAGAATCTCTCAGTGATTCTTCCCCAAGCCCATGGAAAGAAAGTGTCTTCAACCAGTGATTTCAGTATACCTTACTTCCTTGTCAGATATGGTCCTACAGTGCAAATCACAGAGAAGGAACATACAAGAGCCCAAATCTGGCCTTTTAGATGGAAATTCCAACTTTTTAAACACTGGCAATAATTTAAATTTAAAACACTATACAAGGTGAATTAAATGTATCTGCTGGTCAGATGCCACCCTCCAAACCTATAGGTTGTAGCCTTCAGTATATAAGTGAATACATCTAGCTATCATAACTTGATAAAATAATCATCAAAAATCCTCTTGCTCATCAACTTTTTTACTGTAATTTAGGGCAGATTTTCTGAGTGTATCCTACCCTTCTAGCAGTTACCTTTCTGAGTGTAAGTATTTAGAAGCAAAGGGCTGCTTTTTTTTTTTTTTTTTTAATTACATAAGCAGGGATTAGCTCCATCAAATTCATCAGATCCCCTATGGGTTCAAGCTTCTGGGCTTACAATTCTGAGGGTGGATCCATTATATTCCCATCAAAATATAATGCCACCCTGAAGGCATCATTCTCCTCTAGAGATCTCAGCTCACTGAAACCTCTGCCTCTTGGCCTCAAGCTATTCTCCCACCTCTGCCTCCTGAGTAGCAGGAATTACAAGCACCCACCACCACACCCAGCTAATTTTCGTATTTTTAGTAGAGCTAGGGTTTCACCATGTTGACCAGGCTGGTCTCCAACTCCTGACCTCAAGTGATTTACCCCCCTCAGCCTCTCAAAATGCTGGATTACAGGCGTAAGCCATTTTGCCCAGCCTCAGCATCTTTCCTTTTTTTTTTTTTTCTTTTTTTTTTTTTTTTTTTTTTTTTTTTTTTTTTTTTTTTTTTTTTTTTTTTTTTTTTTTTTTTTTTGAGATGGCTTCTCGTCTCTGTCACCCAGGCTGGAGTGCAGTGTGGCTTGATCTCAGCTCACTGCAACCACCACCTCCTGGGTTCAAGCCATTCTCCTGTCTCAGCCTCCTGAGTAGCTGGGATTACAGGCATGCACCACCAATGCCTGGATAATTTTTGGACTTTTAGTAGAGACAGGGTTTCACCATGTTGGCCATTTAACCACATGACCATTTGCTTTTCTTAAATTAATTTTAAGCAGGCAAAAGAAAAATAATCTGAGCCTTTTAATCAGGTCAAAGAATTTGACTGTCAATTTTAAATATATACCACCTAAAATGAAAAGTAGGACATTTGGGATTAACAAGTTGAATAGCAGCATGTTTTCTTTTAACATACACTAGGTATCAAAATAAGCATTTTACATGAAGTTTTCTCTTTAATTTTCACAATAACTTTATTAAGGTCCTTGTGAAAAATGAGAAAGCTTGGTCAGGCGCAATAGCTCACATCAGTAATCCCAACACTCTGGGAGGCCAAGGTGGGTGGTTCACCTGAGGTCAGGAGTTAGAGACCAGTCTGGCCATCATGATGAAACCCCATCTCTACTAAAAATACAAAAATTTGCCAGCCATGGTGGCGAGCACCTGTAATTTCAGCTGCTTGGGAGGCTGAGGCAGGAGACTCACTTGAACCCAGGAGGTAGAGGCTGCAGTGAGCCAAGACCGCGTCACTGCGCTCCAGCCTGGGCAACAAGAGTGAGTCTCCATCTCAAAAA